TTTTTGGAAACAAAAGATGCTTAGTTTCTCTACTGCTACACACCACACCAAAGATGTATTGGAATATATACATTCTGATTTATGGGGACCAACTAAATTCCAGTCTATGAGAGGTTGTAGATATTTTATGTCTATTATTGATGACTTTTCTCGTAAAGTCTGGGTCTATTTCGTGAAAAAAAAAATCAAGCATTTTCTTTTTCAAAAAGTGGAAAATACTTGTTGAGACTCAGACAGGAAAAAGAGTCAAGAAGCTCAGGACAAACAATGCCTTGGAGTTCTGTGAGTCAGATTTCAATGATTTCTGTGCGGCAAATGGAATCGCCAGGCACAAGACCTTGCCTGGTAAACCCCAATAGAATGGTGTTGCCGAACGTATGAACAAGAATCTGTTGGAGAGAGCTCGTTGTATGCTCTCTAATGCTGGGTTATGGAAACGGCGTGAATTTTGGGTAGAAGTCGTTTCTGCTGCTTGCTATTTGGTGAATAGATCTCCAATTCATCCCTTGATTTCAAAATTCCAGAGGAAGTTTGGTCAGGTAATCCTGTTGACTACTCTATCTTAAGAGTTTTTGGATGTCCTGCATATGCTCATTCCAGTAGGGGTAAATTGAACCCGAGAGTTGTCAAATGCATTTTCCTTGGTTATGTTTCTGAGTCAAAAGGGTATCGTCTATGGTCTCCTGATTATCAAAAAATCATTCTGAGTCGAGATATCACTTTTGATGAAAATGCACTACTTTTTTCTGGAAAAGTTACCAGTACAAGTGAGACGTAGAGTACTACTGCTGATGGTAATACTAAAGATGATGCATCTACAAGTATTGCACCTCTCATCGAGCCACAACGAGAGTACTCTATTGCCCAAGATCGGCCTAGGAGGACAATTAAAAACCTGCTAGGTATGCTAGTGACGATGAAACCCACTTGGTTTCTTATGCTCTTTCAGTTGCACAGGAGGTTGAAAGTGATCCATCCTGCTATTCTAAGGCTATTTCCTGTGCCAACTCGTCCAAGTGGTGGATTGCTATGCAAGAGGAGATGGAAAGTCTCCATAAGAATGAGACATAGGAGCTGGTAGAGTTGCCGAAAGGTAAACGCCCATTGAGTTGTAAGTGGATTTACAAAGAGAAAGAAGGCATCCCTGGGTTGAGAAAGCACGGTTAGTTGTTCGAGGTTTCGATCAACGTGAAGGTATTGACTTTAATGAGATTTTTTCTCCATTTGTTCGTCATACCTCTATACGTGTTCTACTTACTTTTGTTGCTCTTTTTGATTTGGAGTTGGAGCAACTTGATGTAAAGATTGCTTTGCTACATGGGGAGCTTGATGAAGAGCTTTACATGTACCAACTTGAGGGGTTTGAAGTTCTTGGGAAGGAACATTGTGTATGCCGTTTGAAGAAGTCTCTTTATGGGCTAAAGCAAGCTCCAAGGGAATGGTATAAGCGGTTTGATGCATGTATGATAGGGCAAGGATTCTCAAGAAGCCAATATGACATTTGTGTCTATTTTAAAGAATTTTCTAATGGGTCTTTTGTCTATCTGCTTCTTTATGTTGATGATATGCTCATTGCTTCCCCTGATATGTCTCTTGTTGATGACTTGAAGTCTCAACTAAGCAATGAGTTTGAGATGAAAGACCTCAGCGAAGAAGATTCTTGGCATGGAGATACACAGGGATCGTCAAGTTGGTAAACTTTATATATCCCAGAAAAAGTATGTTGAGAAGGTGCTTGATCGATTCAATATGTCTAATTGTAAGCCTATGTCTACTCCACTTGGTGCACATTTTAAGTTATCCTCTGATTCATACCCTAAGTCTGATGTTGATGTGGCTTATATGACAAAAGTTCCTTACTCTAGTGCTGTTGGAAGCCTTATGTATGTTATGGTATGCATTAGACCTGATTTGGCTTATGATGTAAGTGTTGTGAGCCGTTACATGCATAACCCTGGTAAGAAACATTGGAACGATGTTAAATGGATTCTATGGTACCTAAAGGGTACTTCGTCTTTGGGCTTGGTTTTTGATCGAAATTCTTTTGCATCTACTGACATTGTGGGCTTTGTAGATTCTGATTATGGTGGTGATCTTGACAGACGTCGATCATTTTCCAGTTATATTTTCACCCTTTGTAATTGTGCTATCAGTTGGAAAGCTACGCTTCAGTCTATTGATGTGTTATCTACGACTGAGGCGGAATATATTGCAGCAACAGAGGGTGCCAAAGAAGCCACTTGGCTACGAGGTTTGGTTATGGAACTTGGTGTTTCACAAGGTCAGACCGTTGTGTTCTCAGATAGTCAAAGTGTTATCCATCTCACGAAGAATGATACATATCATGCCAAAACCAAACACATTGATGCCAAATACCATTTTATCCTAGAGGTTGTAACTGCGGGAGATATAGCCATTCAGATGATTCATACATTGGAGAATCCAGCAGATATGCTCACCAAGCCTCTTCATATTACTAAGTTCAAGCAGTGCTTGAGTTTAGTCGGCTGTTCCAGTTATGAATTCCCATAGTGGATTTGCTCTAAGGTAGAGATTGTTAAGACATAAATATATGTGGCTCAAAATCCTTCAAGACCACATACCATGTTGGGTATGTTGTCACCATGCAGCACATAGCGTCCACATTGCATGTTCAGGTCGTCCACTCTGCACGTAATAATCCGAGATTTGCTCTCCGCATTTTGCTTTCCTCATTTATCTTTATTTCCTAGTGTATAAATAGATTAGAGTTGTTGCTTTTGTAACTCACTCAATCATCAATATCAATACTAAGGACCTTGTCGTCCAATGATGCCAAGTTGCTCCCTTATGTGGGAGGTGATAGGTTTGAATATTGGTGAAGGCGCAGTAGCTTGTACGTGTGTGTATATATATATATATTCTTTTATTCTTTATTTTGTCATTTATATATTTTTGCTATTATTTAACTTTTATAATTCTCAATTTACGATTGTTCGTTTCCGCATTATTCCGCTACATTCCTACATTTTTCAAGCTCATTTGGCGAGTTGATTGGCTTCCACATATTTTTTAAAAATAATATATTATATTAACCTTACTTTTTAATTAATAATAATAATCATAAATTAAAAATTAAAAAAAAATCTTCTCAAAAATAAAATGTAAAATTTTATGATTATTATTACTAATTAAAAATTAAAGTTAATATAATATATTATTTTTAAAAATATATGCGAAAGTCACATCAGCTCTCTAAATTCAATCATCAAATAGTTGACCTTTTAACTTGAACACAACCTACAAATAGTGCTAATTGCATTTTTTTTATGTAAATTTGAAATTGTAATTGAAACTTTTTAAAGTTGAAGGGCCTAATTACACAAATCAGTATAGTTTGAGGGGCTTATTTGATCCTTGTCCTTTTGTTTTATTTTCGGCACAAGTGTCAAATAGGTCAATCTACTAATTCGAAGTGCTCAATTCCCCCACCAATTAAAATATGTAATCAGCCACACTTACTTTTTAAATTTGTTCGATTAGCCTTTTTTTTTTTTTTACAGGTTACCTTCGGGTTGCCAGTCCATATTGGTGACTTGTAATTTTATTTTATTAATATTCAAATAAGAGTGTGTGCTGAGGTGAAATTTAGTTCCTAAATCTTTGTTAGAGTCATCGTTGGTTGGCGATTCCTTCGGAAGATTCATGGAAGGTCACGGAGCTCGCCGGAGAGGGACCGTGGCGGAAGCGCCACTATAGCATTTGCCTTTGCCTCGTTCTTAAACCGGAGTGGAACCACCTTGGCCGACAGTGGTGCGGCGGAGATAGCGGTCAGATTTTCGAGCGAGTTGGCGACAGTGAAAATGGACCTCAGGGGGTGGTGACGAAGGTCGCCCCGCCGATGAAAGCAGAGGAAATGGTGGAGAGAGAAGCGTAGACTAGAAGAGATAGAGGGAGAAGAATCAGCAACAGAACCCTCCAATCTACATCTGAAACCCTTCGCGAAAATATCGCTAATATTTGCTTTGGCGATGGAAACGCGGCTCGGAGACAACGATCAGCGCTGCTCGACGGCGGATCTGTGCTTGGAGACAACGATCGACGGCGACGCTGTTTGGAAATTGGCGATGGCGGCCCTACACGATCGGAGTCAACAACGACGAGTCAGGAATCTGCTCAGGGATGCCGATGGTTTATGTTGATCACTGATTGCCGATGGGCCTCCTTCCCGAACTCTTTGAGCGATCGGCGATTGAACTCTAAAACGTCCGATCGACTACGTCGGTGGATCGATCACCTTGCCGTCCATCAATAGCAACGATTCCAGTGAAGTAGATTGTGAATCAGTAATAGAGCTTAGGGTTTGTAGAGAACAGAAAAGAGAGGAAGAGATAGAGTGAGAGAGAACAGAATTTGGCTATCATTCATCAAAAAACATACCCATTACAATAGAATTATTCTCCTTTATATAACGGCTAAGGATAGACTAAACGACACCGTTCGATTGCTTCCACTACAAGAAAAATCGCGAATCGCGACGGGAAATCGCGACGGACTATATTTCGTCGCCATTTAGCGACCGAAATTGCGACCGAATACATTCCGTTGCAAAATGACGACGGAAACGGCGGCGGAATTAAATTCCGTCGTGAATCTTGGCGCAAATATAAAATAAAGTCCGCGAAATATTGGCGGCAAATATTCACGACTGAATTTGCGACGGAAGTAATTTACATCGTCCATGTTGCGACGGAAAAGGCGACCGATTTGTGTTCCGTCGCGAAATGGCGACGGAATTTGCGACCGATTTAATTCCGTCCTTAAATGAATTAAATTTTAGATTATGAACTAAATATGGCGACGGAAATGACGACCGCCTAAATTCCGTTGCAATAGTTTTATTAAATTTTATTTTTCTTGTACTTAAACGCCGGCTTTTTGACTATGAAATTAGAGTTAAAATAAAATAAAATAAATCTTTATAACCCTAAATGCAAAAATCTCTAGAACACACCAAATAGCAAACACTCCATCGCATTTCCTAGACGCTGAACTCCTCATCGGCCATCGCTGAACGCCATCGCAGAACACCGCCGTCGCCGTGCAAGCGTCATCATCACCGTGCAGCTGTCACCGTCTCCGTGCTGCCGTCGCCGTCGCCGTGCAGCCGTCACCATCTCCGTGCAGCCGTGGTCGTGCACCAAAACTCCGTCCCCGTCGCCTCCTCCTCCATTTCTAACCGGTAATTCTTTAACATATTCCCCCAGCTGATTTCAGTTCAAATACAATTGCATAGTTCAGTCTATATTTCCCTGCCTATTGTTTAATTTTGTGGTTGAGTTAAAAAAAATAGCAGTACAGTATATATTTAATTGAATTGAATTGCTTCACTCAGTAATTTTGTGGTTGAATTGATGATAATTTTTTTTTTAAATTCATATCTTGACGCTAAACTATCATTGTAGTTTTTGCCTTATTGATGTGCTGGTGATTGAGTTATAATCTGTTGAAAAGTGTGAAACTTGGGGGATGAAGCACACTTTTTAAGAATTTTGGGTTGTGTTGCCTTGATGATAAAAGCTTTTATTCTGGAACTAAGAATGTTGTTGTGTACATTATTGGGTTGTGGATTTGAATATTGATGCTTGAACAAGCCTTTTGAAATGCCTAATATAAACAAGACTTGAGAAAGAAAATTTGAAACACAAATTAAATGGGCTCCTCAGACCTCAATTGGTGTCCCCTAACAAGCACTACTAACTGATGTTGTGGTGTCTATCTGTGTATATAATTCACTCAGTTTGAAGTTTGAGATAATGCTGGAGTTGACTTAGTGGTTTGGTTCTCAGTGCATTCTGTTTGGGGCATACAACCTATGATTCTTTGTATTTTATGTCCTTTTGTTGCTCTCTTAATAACTGAACTTGTAGTGATTGTGGGTGGCACTATGAATTCATAACCCTCCTTTGCCATGATGAATATTTAAGTTATTTATTTTTTAATGAAGAGGTTGTTCTAGCTTATTTGCGAACCACTTGAACATAATACTTTATTTTAAGGGGAGTTGAAGGAGAATACATTTTTTTTCTACTCCAACCAGTTATTGATAATAATTAAGTAATTAAATAGTTTATGAGAGTCATCTCTCTGGCAGTATACTTAAAGGAGCCAGATTGTTTCCTTGAGTCTTAATTAATCTGAACCACTTGATTCATGTGGGTTGTGCAATGTTACCATTGATAGAAGGAAATTGCTAGGGATACCCTATGTCATCAAAATAAACATTGTCTCTATGTGTTTGTATGAAATAAAAATAAAGGTTGAAAAGGATGCAGTCTCCATCAAGAGAACTGAACTACTATATATTGACTATATGCTTCTCTTCTCTTGTATGTTTTTGATATACATACTATTGTATCATATAAGGCTAAAAGTTTGTGAGCTTAATTGTACGAGTCTGCTGCTCTTGATCTGTTCAAAATTTCTTCTGCTAGCTACTGTATGCAAATAATATATCCTCATATAGGACAAAAAGAAATGCAAACCAGTTTTCATTTTTAATAGGTTAATTTAAATTGCCAAGCGGTAATGAGAAAGAATATAATATTTATTTCTCACAATTCAACTCTTTCTAAAATCGTATATGTTCGTTCTTTTAATTGGTTAGAGATCCGAATGGCTAAGAATTGTAAACTAAGTAAGAATTGCAAGGGAAAAGTATAGTATTATCTTTTTTGGTGAAGTAGATAATAGATTTGTCATTTTTGTAATTGTTTTTATAGTATTCACTAAAGGGATTTTGGACAGAATGTAGTGGATATTTGATTGCTTCTTTCTTTTTCATTTGCATAATCATTACTTTGAAAATCATGTTAATATATGTGAATATAAATATTTGTCAATGGTGGTTGGGTTGGAATTCATCGTGACCTAGATATGTTGGTGAGAACACTGAGACGGTTAAGGAGACGGGTGAGAATATGATTTCAAGTCTCATATTGAGCACATTTCTACTTGTAAACTGTAACCATTTGCCATTAGAAGCTTGATCTGTTAACCACTACCTTCTTATTTTTAAATTTTTAATGTGCACTTCTATCATTGAAACTTTTTTTTATCACATTTTGTTTTATTCATCCAAAAAAGGCACTAAACATACTTTTGCCCTTTTATTTGCAAGTATTGTGTTTCTACAAGATTGAATTCATCAGTTAAATTTATATTTTTGTTTGCTTCTAAAATACTTTGTTGTGTATATTTTTGGCAATGTGCAGGTTGATGTGCAGGAAGAGAGGTGAGAAGAGATAGAGTGAGAGAGAACAGAATTAGGTTTTCATTCATCAAAAAACATACCCATTACATTCGAATTATTCTCCTTTATACAACGGCTAAGGATCGACTAAGCGACACCGTTCGATTGCTTCATAACGGCTAACTAACCACTTACTCAAACGACAGCGTTTCACTCCTTCTCTGCAACGGCTCTAACGGCCTGCTATCACACGACGTCGTCCCACTACCCATGTGACACCCCATAATCCAAATTCAATTAAGGGATTAATTAAGTAATTAATCATAATCCAATTGGTAATTTAATTCCTTAAATTCTTGAAAATTCAATAGTCGGGGACTAGTAATTGACTAGTCAATCCAAAGTCAAGTGTTGTACCTAAAGCTTTGAGGATAGTACCCTTGCTCCCTTACACTTCTTTATTTTAGTAAGGGTAATAAAGACATTTCACCTCATGTTAGTATTGCAAGCTAACCTAGAAGACACCCTTCGTTCTTTCCCTTACACTTTCTAAACTTGAGCTCCTCCTTCTCTCTAAAAGTTAGATAGCTTTTTTTCCAAGCCAAGTTGAAGCTTTACAAAATCTTCAAAGGTTGTCTCCAAGATTCCACCTTTCCTACTCTTGAGCATCTAGGAGGGTAAGATCTATGTTCCTTTTGTGTTTTTAGTATTTTCTAAGGTGTCTTTTCTTAAAGATGAAATCTTTATGATCTTTTGGTATAATCTTGAAGTGGGTGTAGAGAGGGGACCTTGTTAGGAGCCTTGTGAAGTGGTTAAAGTGAAAGTTGAGTCTTCAAGAGGTAACCCATGCTCTACAAAATCTATTTTGCTTACCTATATGATGATTTCTTGGATTCTACATGTGATTTTGCTATGAAATGTGAGTGTTGATGCATTGTCTTGTGAAAATGCATATCTAGAGCTTGTTATTAGGGTTCATGTATGCCATTGCTTGGCTATTCCTTTGATTCAAGTCATTTTTTGTTGTATTTGGTGAGATTTGGCATGTTTTGGACTTGAATTTGAGCTTGGAGTTGAAAATCCCCGAAAGAATATTTTTGGTACAGGTGTGTACCCGCGGGCGGAACGGCGGGTAGAGCTCTACCCGCTGCCCCACCCGCGGGGTACATGGTGATGTGGGTGAGGTACCCGCGGGGTACATATGTGGCTTGGGCGGGGATTTGTTCCCCGTGATTCTTTTGACTCGGTATTTGGTCTTTTGACTTCCCAATGTTCTTTTGTGGAACTATTTGAGTGTCTTCTTGATGTTTCGTATGTCTAGAACTATATGGTAGGATTCCATGTAGGTTTTGGTGTCTTGAATCGTGCTAAGTGTTCAACCTTGTGATTCGTTGAACCATGATGAGTCTTGTGTGTTCTTCGGAACTATGTTTGGTTTACCCGTTTGATAAGCATGCTAGTTCGGTGTTTAAATGCTAGCGTGTGCGTTGTTTGTCCTTTCCTATTGTGGATGATGACTTGTGTTAATCATCGTTGGAGTCGGATTGTGATCCTTTCCTTGTTGAGTATGGTTTCATATCTTCGTTGTGATCCGTTGATTGATTCCTATTGTGGTGTGGTGTGTGTGACTGTACCTGAAATGCACGATTAATGGTATGGGACATTAGTCACCAAGGTACGGCAGTGGTCCTCGTGGTGGCCATGACGCGATTATGGAGTTTGTGACCTTTGTGTAAGGTTCACGTATTTGTTAAAGGGTAACATGTGTTACCAAGGCATGTGTTGCCATGTGTGATTGGTACCCTCGTGTACTATGAAATCGGTTGTATTGTTGGAGATTGTCGGATTGGGGACGACAGTCCTCGGGGGAATAAGGTTGGACTTAGTGTACAGGGGTCCTGGAGGTACAGGTTGGAACTAGCTATAAGGTTGGGGGTAGCCATAAGGTTGGAATCGGGCATAAGGAAGGCATATCAATTCGTGATGGGTGATGTCACGAAGGCTTGTGTAGCTGTTGTTGTGTATTTCTCCATTTGTGACATGTGTTGTCACAAAGGCATGTGTTGTCAATGGTTGTGTCCTTATTCTCTTGTGTTATGCATGTCGGGTGATAATCTACTGTGTGATGGTAGATTACGCCTTGAGCCGTTCTTGTGTGTCGTTATACTTCTGGATGTCTTGGGATGTGTTCCCTTATCGTTATTTTGAGTGCAAAGAGTCTTGTGTTTGACTTCTATCTTGGCTTTGAAATTGATATATACTATATCCCGTTTCGCAAATGATTTTGTATATATAAACTATCTACATATGATATTTCACATGTATTGGTGGGTTACCAGCATCATTCGCTGACCGGGCGTCGTCCCATATATCTATGTGTTTCTTTCAGGTGCTGAGTAGACGAGAGCGCGGTCTAGAGATACTTAGTGTAGATCCCTTTCCCTTGTGATGGTTTGGGCCTGCGTGCCTTTGATTAAACCCTAGACTTTATGTTGTTGACTTTGCTTTTGGATTGATTGATTATGTTGCAGATGTTTACGCCTGTGCGTTCACCGTTGTGTGAGCGTGGCATAACGCTCTACGTTTTCCATCTATTTCATGCCTAAGTCTTCCGTTGTGTATGCTTTTATGGTTAGAATTATTTGCATGTTTAAGGTTTAAATTGGTATGGAAAATCGGGGGTGTTACAACCCAATTCCCTTAGCTTCATCCGCGATCATTACATTACTCCCTCCTTCAAAGGATCCTTGTCCCCAAGGATCAAATGTGGGAAATTGCTTGGTAACGTGGTAGTAGTCTTCCCAAGTCGCAACCTCCTCAGGTAAGATAGCCCACTGAACCAAGATCTGTGTCACTGCCTTGTTATTCCTCTTAATCAACCTTTTGTTTAGCACTGCAATTGGTTGAGCAAACACCTCCCCATCCTGTCCTACTAATGGAGGCTCATGCTGAGCCACAATTTGATCCCCAACGAACCTTCTTCTTCAGCTGTGAAACATGGAATACAGGATGAATTTGTGCACCTGCTGGCAGTGACTGTGACACCCCGAAATCCAAATCCAATTAAGGGATTAATTGAGTAATTAATCCTATTCAATTGAGGAATTAATTCCAAAAATCCTGAAATTTAATACTTGAGGACTAGTATTTGACTAGTCAACTCCGAAGTCAAGTTGTACCTTGAGCTTTGAAGGGAGATTCCCTTGTTCCTTACACTTTCTAATGTTAGTAAGGGCATTCTTGACCTTTCACCTAGTGTTAGTATTGTAACCTAACCTAGTAGACATTTTCATTCTACCCCTTACACTTTCTAAAATTTAGCTCTACCTTCTCTCTAGAAAGGTGAGTAACTTTTCCTCCAAGCTAAGTTGAGACCTTGCCAAGACTTCAAGAGTTGCTTCCAAGATTCAACCTTTCACCTATTTGGGCATCTAGAAGGGTAAGATCTAAGTCTATCTTGTGTTGTTGGTTCCATTTAGGTGTCTTTTTCTTAAAGGTGGGATCTTTATGATCTTTTGGTTTGTTCTTGAAGTGGGTTTGGAAAGTGAGCCTTGTGAAGAGCTTGTTGAGGTGTAAAGTGAAGTCTTTTAGTCTACAAGAGGTAATCCATGCTCTACAAAATCTATTTTGCTTACCTATATGTGATTTCTTAGATTCTACTTGTGTTTTGCTATGAAATGTGAGTGTTGATGCATGACCTTGTGAAAAAATGCATATCTAGAGCTTGTGTTTAGGGTTCTTGTGTGCCATTGCTTGGCATTTCCTATGATTCAAGTCATTTTGTTGTATTGGGTGAGATTTGACATGTTTTGGACTTGAATTTGTGTTTGGAGCTGAATTTCGCGAAGTGTGATGTTGTGGTACAGGTTGTACCCGCGGGCGGAACGGCGGGTAGGAGGCCCACCCGCGGGGTACACAAGGTGGGAGGCCTGTACCCGCGGGCGGAACCGCGGGTAGGGGCCTACCCGTGGGTCCACCCGCGGGTACACAAGTGGAGTTGTTTGGGGATTTGTTCCCCGTGATTCTTTTGACTCGTATTTGGTCTTTTGACTTCCCGATGTTCTTTTGTGGAACTATTTGAGTGTCTTCTTGATGTTTCGTATATCTAGAACTATATGGTAGGTATCCATGTAGGACTTTGGTGTCTTGAATCATGCTAAGTGTTCAACATTGTGTTTCGTTGAACCGTGATGTGTCTTGAGTGTTCCTCGGAACTACCTTTGGTTTATCCGTTTGATGAGCATGCTAGTTCGGTGCCTAAATGCTAGCGTGTGGGTTGTTTGTACCTTCCGATTGGTTGATGATAACTTGTGTTATGCATCGTTGTTGTGCCGGGCTGTGACCCACTCCTTGATTGAGTATGTTTCATATCTTCGTTGTGATCCGTTGATTGATTCCTGTTGAGGTGTGATGCGTGTGTGGCTTTACCTGGATTGCACGATTAGTGGTATGGGACACTAGTCACCAAGGTATTGCAGCGGTCCTCGTGGTGGCCGTATGCGATTATGGAGTTTGTGGCCTTTGTGTAAGGTTCACGTGATTTTGGGAGAGGCATGTGTTGCCATGTGTGTGAACGGTACCCTCGTGTACTATGAAATCGGTGGTTCTGTTGGAGATCTGTTGGAGAGGGGACGACAGTCCTCGGAGGAATAAGGTTGGACTTGGTGTACAGGGGTCCTAGAGGTAAAGGTTGGAACTAGATATAAGGTTGGGGGTAGCCATAAGGTTGGAACAGGGCATAAGGAAGGCATATCAACTCGTGATGTGTGATGTCACGAGGGCTTGTGTAGCCGTGGTTGTGTGTTCTCTTCTTGTAACGTGTGTAGTCACAAAGGCATGTGTGCCTAAGCATGAGTTGCCATCAGTCTTGTCTTTATCCTTGAGTTGTTGTTGTCCTTTGGTGGTCCTGGGATGTGTTCCCGTGTTATCTTTGAGAGTGATGAGTCTTGAGTTGGTGTTTACTCTTGGTTTTACACTGTTATATATGTATCCCGTTTCGAAATGAATTTGTATATATATCCTATCTATGTATGATACTTAACATGTATTGGTGGGTTACTAGCATTATTCGCTGACCGGGCGTCGTCCCATGTTTATTTGTGTTCCTACAGGTGATGTCTAGACGAGAGCGGAGTCTAGTGCCCGATAGTATAGTACCTTTCCTTGCTTTACGGCCTGTGAGCCGATGTAGTGATAGACTCGTGAGGTTTTGGGATAGTTGTGAACCAAGCAGACTTTGTCGTAGCGTTTATCGTTGTTGGTAAACGTGGCGTGACACCCCATGTTTTGGATTTTCGTTTATTCAGTTACCTTTTATCTTCCGCTGTACTAGTGCTTTGTTGTGATATCTGCATGTGTTAAGGCTTTTTATATAGCATGTTTTGGGGGGGGGGGGGTGTTACAGTGCCAATATATAAGCAATTGGCCCCACTTTTGCAATCACCTGATAGGGCCCGTAGTACTTAGATGAGAGCTTGATGTTAGTTCTCACAGCCACTGTAGTTTGTCTATAGGGTTGAATTTTCAAATAAACCCAATCCACCACTTGCAATACTCTTTCACTTCTTCTCTTGTCTGCCTGCTGTTTCATTCTCTGCTGAGCCAACCTTAGGTTATCCTTGAGTATTGCTAGAAGGGCTTCCCTTTTAGCTATCCACCCTTCCTCTTCCCTTTTCTGCCCAACTCCTAGGGCTAACATAGGTGGTTGGTAGCCATAGAGAGCTTGGAATGGTGTACACTGTAGTGAGGAATGGAAATTAGTGTTGTACCAGTATTCTGCCATGTGCAACCACTTGGCCCAATTCTTTGGCTTGTTAAACACCATGCATCTTAGATATGTTTCAAGGCATCTATTGACTCTTTCAGTTTGGCCATCTGATTGGGGATGATAGGTAGTGGACCTGCTTAGGTGTATTTGCAGCTGCTTAAAGATTGACTGCCAAAATTTGCTAAGGAACACCTTATCGCTGTCAGTTACAATGTCCTCAGGCAACCCATGTAATTTGTAGATGTTCTCCATGAAAACCAAGGCCACACCCTCAGCTGAATAAGGGTGAGCTAAGGCAATGAAATGGCTGTATTTTGTAAGCCTGCCCACCACAACCAGGATTACTTCCTTCCCTAAAGATTTAGGCAACCCCTCTATGAAATCCATTGAGATTCCCTTCCAAGCTTGGTTAGGAATAGCTAATGGCTGCAGTAGTCCAGGAGATGGTACATTTTCAGCTTTGCATTTCTGGCAAATGTCACACTTTTTAATCCATCCTTCCACTTCCTGCCTCATTCCCTTCCAGTAGAATAATGACTTAAGCCTTTGGTATGTTCCCTGCTGACCAGAGTGACCTCCTAAGGGGGAGTCATGCATCTGTAGTATCAAGTTACCCCTCAGTTCCCCTTTGCAACCAATGTAAATCTTGTGTTTATACCTTATCAGTCCTTCTACTACTGCCACATCAGGATCACTTTCTGGACTAATAAGTGCAGCTGTTAACTTGTTCTGAGCCCATTCATCCCCTTCATAGTTGTTAATCACCTCTTCAATCCATTGTGGTCTAATAGTGAGGATAGAATTCAGCTCAGGCACTTGATTGGTTTCCCTTCTAGATAAGGCATCTGCAACACAATTATCTATGCCTTTCTTATATTGGATGGTGTAATGAAGGCCCAATAGTTTGGACAATCCCCTTTGATGTGTGGCAGTGATAATTTTCTGCTCTAATAGGAACTTGAGGCTATGGTGGCCAGTCCTTATGATAAAGTGTCTGCCCAGTAAGTATGATCTCCATCTTTCCACAGCATTGAGAATAGACATATATTCTTTTTCATAGATGGACAATCCCAAATGCTTGTCCCCAAAAGCCTTGCTGTAATAAGCTATAGGCTTCTCTTCCTGGATTATGATTGCTCCCATTCCTTTATGACATGCATCTGCCTCTATGATGAAGAGTTTTTGAAAATCAGGCAAGGCCAATACATGTGCTGAGCATAGGGCTTGCTTCAACTTTTCAAATGCAAGCTCAACTTCTTCATTCCACTGAAATGAGTTTTTTTTTAACATCCCAGTTAATGGTCTGCTAATCACCCCATATCCCTTGATGAATCTTCTGTAATAGCCAGTCAACCCCAAGAAGCCTCTTAATCCCTTGATAGTTACTGGTTTAGGCCATTCAGCTACTGCTTGCAGCTTAGAGGGATCAGTGTGTAACCCTTTGTTAGAGATAATATGGCCTAGGTATTCCACTTCTCCTTTTGCAAATGAACATTTGCTGAGCTTTGCAAACAACTTATGTTGCCTCATGATAGTCAAAACCTCTTTAAGATGTTCCCAATGTGCTTGCAGATCAGGGCTATATACCAGGATATCATCAAAAAAAAAAAAAAAAACAGAACAAACTTCCTCAACAAGGGCTTAAATACATGGTTCATCAAAGCTTGGAAGGTTGTTGGGGCATTAGTAAAGCCAAAAGGCATAACTCTGAACTCATATAATCCTTGATGAGTTCTAAATGCAGTCTTATACTCCTCA